TCAAAAGGGATCATAAAACAAAAGAGGCTCAGACAAAGTCTTTTCTGGGTCCTGGGTTGCAACAGTGGCGCCCTTGTTTTTTAAGGGGTTGTATCTTCTTCCTTCTACGTTGTTTTGCGTTGGACTGGGGTTTTGGAGACAAGGGCTTGGATCCCCACTTGGGTCCTGGAAACTCACTGGGCGACCTCAGGCAAGTCACACTCTCTCAACTTTAAAGGGAAGCAAGGGCAAACCTCCTCTGAACAAATCCTGCCAAGAAAACTTAGCAATAGGTTCGGCTTGGGGCTGCCAAAAGCCAGAAATGACTTGAGGGCACACAACGACCATCTTATGTCCTAGGGGCCCCAGATCCCGTCTGATCTTGCAAGCTAAGCAGTGTCAGCCTTGGTTAGTACTTGGATGGGAGACCGTCAACCAATAACAAGTGCTGTAGGCTGCATTTCAGAGGAAGCAACGAGCAGCAAAAACATCTCTTTGACTAGTATCCCTTGCCTAAGAAACCCCTCTGAAATGCATGGGCTCGCTCGCCCTATATAACTCGACAACTTGAAAGCACAATCTGACTCCTCTCTCTCACCTGCCCTGACTTTTTATTAACATACCACCCCCCCCGCACTTTCTCCTGAGAGGCAGCCTGGCCTAGTGGCTAGAGCGCTGGACTCTACGACTCTGGAGACCCGGGTTCGAATCCCCGGGCGGCCATGAAAGCCCCCTCCCCGGAGTGGCTTTGGTCAAGTGACACACTCTCTCAGCCTCAGAGTGGGAAAGCAAGGTCCAGGAGCCCTATCCCAAGCCCTGGCCCTCCTTACCTGGCGGGGCTCCTGGGGGCGAAGTAGCGTCCGAAGAGGAGGACCGAGGAGGAGACCAGGGCCAGCAGGAGCACCAGGCCCAGGCGCTGCCAACGACGAGGGGGGGCCATCCCCGAAAGAAGGAAGGAAGGAAGGAGGAAGGGGACCCCCGACAGGCAGGACCCTTCCCAAAGGCCCCCGGCAGCCCTTCAGGGGAGGTCTAGTTCCTTTGCCCGGGCGCAGACAGCTCTTCCCAGCTCAGGTGCCTCGGGGAGGTCTAGTCCTCCGTCCGGAGGCTCTCCAGCAGCACAAAGGCCCCCAGCAGCTCCGCTTTCTGCCCGGCGAGGAGGTCTAGTGTCCTTCCTTGTCCGGCGTGGCTTTTTCCAGCTCAGATGCCCCGGGGAGGTCTAGTTTTCTGCCTAGATGCCTCGGGGAGGTCTAGTTTTCTGCTTAGGTGCCCAGAGGAGGTCTAGTTTCCTCGCCCAGGGTGGCTCTTTCCAGCCGGGATGCCTGGAGGAGGTCTGGTTTTCTTGCCCGAAGTGGCTCTTTCCAACCTAGGTGTCCAGAGGAGGTCTAGTTTCCTTGCCCGGAGGAGGAGGAGGAGGAGGAGGAGGAGGAGGTCTAGTTCCCCTGCGTGTCGTGTCTCTCTCTCTGTGGGGCGGCTGTGGGTCTGGCGGGAGGGCAGGCGGTGGGTCGGTGGCTCCTTTGTGGGAAGAGCGGGGCCGCCGGGATGGTGCGGTAACAATAAAGCCCGCCTCTGCCTCTGCCTCTGCCTTTGCCTCTGCCTTTGCCTTGAGGGCTGCCCAGAGGAAGAAGGCACGGTCCTCCATTTCCGCCTCTTGTCCGGGAGAGGAATCCCAAAAGGTCCTCCATTCCATTCTAGTTTCCACTTCTAGGAGTGCTGTCAGCTTTTCTTTCTTAAGGTCCTCCGTTTCAGCCTCCTTCTGTCCAGGAGGAGTTCCCAAATGTCCTCCTTTTGAAGCATGGCTAAGAGGCAGGGGCTTTGGTAGCTTTTATGGGTGTCTGTGTGTTTTGCCCTCCATGTTTTTCGAATGTCCTCCATGTTGTGTCGAATGTCCTCCATCTTTCTGTGCCCGGCCCTCCTTGGTCCAGTGTGTGTGTGTGTGTGTGTGTGTGTGTGTATCAGACTGGGTCCTCCTTTCCCAGGAAGGAATTTCCAAAGGTCCTCCATTTTTTGGAAGCGTGTCTTTGTATCGCTGTGA